GGGCAAGGGAGTTTCTGCTGCTACCCCAGGCTGGAGGAGGGGTGGGTCTGCTGCTTTGCCTTCCTGGGGTCCCGAGACAACATGGGTGACTGTGTCCTTGAGTATTGTTCCAGCGCAGAGCCAAAGATGGAACGGGGCCATTAGTAGGTGCTCAGCTCCAGGATTCCCCTTCTCCACAACCCATTCTGAGTGCTAGCTTGGGGAGACACAGACCGAGGAGGAGGGGGAGGTCAGGGACCAGGTTCAAAAGCAGTTCAAACATCTGGGAGCCAAGCACCGAGGCCCTTGACCTGGGATGGTGGGAAATGGAAGAGTGGAGAGCAAATCTCACCCACAGGAAGGGGCCCTAGGTGGAGCAATGATGGAGTCCTTGGCTGCTAACCAAAAGGTTGGCAGTTCGAACCCCTCCCCAGACGCTTTGTGGGAGGGAGGGCTGGCCATCTGCCCCTCTGTAGCGATTACAGCCTTGAAACTCCCCCTCTGTCCTCTGGTGTCACTCTGCTTCTCAGTCAACTCAGCGGCATCCAACCACAGCCACGCACAGGCATGACATTCCCTGAGAGCCCGTGTGCGCTTCTGACCCAGGACCAAGTCCCCGTTCCCTGCCCCGTCCCCATGGCACCTGACTCCTTCTTTTCCAGTCCCCTCCTGCTTTCCTCCTCCTTGCTCACACCAGGCCAGCGGCACTGGCTTCAGCGCCGTTCTCCGACATGCCAGCCCATGCCCAGGCTCTTCCCAGGACCCAGCAGGGTCTTTCCCCAGATTTCCATTCGGCTTGTTCCCTCTGGTCTGTTTCAAAAACCAGCTTATTAGAGACCCTATACCTATTCCCGCCCCCATTCCTTTGCAGGGTGGGGGGAGGTGGCACTTGATACAAGAGAAATGGAGGGGTCCCCGCTAGCCAGGTTCTCGGTCCCGACCTTCATGGCTAAGATCATAGCCAGGAGGCCAGTGTGACACCCCAAAGCCAGGCCCTGCGTGAAGGTGTGGGGCAGGGCCATGGAGGCGTAGTGGGTTAGAGTTGGGTTGCTAATCACAAGGCCAACAGTTTGAGCCCACTAACTGCTCCTTGGGAGAAAGAGATGGAGCTTGCTGCTCCTGGAAAGATTTACAGCCTGGGAAACGCTGGCAGGCAGATCTACTACTCTGCCCTGCAGGGTGGCTATGAGTCAGGTCCAACTCTGTGGCCGTGGGGTTTTATTTGGTGGGGGATATGTGGAACCCAAGATGGTGCTAAGTATTTTACATACAGTAGCTCCCTTCATGATGTCTAGGTGGCACGGACTCAGGTGAAGCGCTAGACCACTAGCCCAAAGTTGGAGGTTTGAGCCACCCAGAGGGTGCAAGCAAGGCAGGCCTGGCGGCCTGCTTCTGAAAGATCACACAGCCTTGAAGACCCAATGGAGCGGCATGACTGCACACACAGGAGTGTCATGAAGGCAGTCAACTGGAGGGGCACTAACAACAACGTCATCACCCCCAGTCTATTCTCTTAACAACCCCGGGGCAGGGACGGGTGACAGTTGTCATCCTCGTCTTGCAGATGGGGAAATGCCGTTCTGCTCAAGAAGGGGCAGAGCTAAGGCATGGATGGCCCTGCGACATCAGGCTGCAGAGCCCACGCTCTTTGCTGTTGGTTGCACTGCATCTCGCAGGGAGTTGCGAGGGGCCGGGGCAGAGAGGACCCCTGGTATTGCAGCAGGCTAAGACTTGGGCCGCTAACCAAAAGGTGGGCAGTGTGAATCCACCAGCTGCTCCTCTGGAGAGAAACGAGGCTGTCTGCACCCATGAAGAGCTTCAGCCTCGGAAACCCTAGGGAGCAGAGTCGGAATTGACCCCAGGGCAGTGGCAGAGAGCCGGCAGGGACTGGGCTGCGACCCTGGAGTATTGGGGAGCACAGGAGAGATGAGAGCTAACTACGGATTCGCTGTCGCATCCCTCTGCAGTGCCACTTTGGCATGCAGAGCACTTTGCCGCTGCTCACCTCACTCGGTCCTTTCCCCACTCCTGAGACAAGACCTGCTTCTTCGTACCCAGGGAGCAGGGGACAGAGCTATGGCAGGGACTGGGAGGGTGGAAGTGGGATAACAGAGGGAAACTTAAACCACCTAAGGGTGTGAGTAGGCTCTGGCCCCCTTACTGTATGCCAGGCTCTTACAAAATCTGTGTAAAGTCACCACGAGATGCAAATCATCCTTATTCCCTTTTCAAAGATGAGTGAACTCAGGCTCGGGGGCTGGGAAGGGAGGCACTGTGGTCCTTCTGTGAATATCCAGCGGCCTGCCCAAGCAGATGGGAGGGTCTGTCATGCCAGTGGTGTCCTGGGGGGTGATGGGGGAGGGGAGGGGGAGGATGAAGAGGGACCAAGGTATACCTTTTCTCTCTGGTGGCCCAGCCCTCACGCAGCCAGCTGTCTGTGCTGTTCCCCAGAGGCTGGGCTCTTCATCTAAGTACTTTTCCCTCCTGAGACAAGATCCTGGCTGCTGGGCCCTGAGCTGAAGGCTAGGAGATGTGTGTGACTCGGGAGCAGGTAACTGCCCCCTTTTCTGGACCTTGTGTCTCCTCACACCCATTCTGGGACACCAGGCAGGGCCAGCTTTGCAATCTCCATGAGACTGAACAGCCAAGCTCACAGCTCACCAGGAGCAGGGCCGAGGCAAGCCTTCGCCCCAAGCCAGAGCCTGGTGCCCCAGCTCCAGCCTCTCATTCTCCTGCCTGGGCCTCCCAGAGCCATGCCTGCCCTGTGTCTGAACTGCTCCCTGCTCATCACCTCATGTCCAGACCCTGCCTGGGGGGTAGGGGAACACTAAGGCCTGCCCCCCCCTCCCAGCTGGGTGCCATTGGCAGCGGGCGGACGGGTGGCATACGGGGTAGACTCTGGTTGCCGTAGCAACCTGCCAAAGTCTCGGGTGGAGGCACATGGCCTACAGGGTGTGTGGGGGGAAGGGATTCGGTTCACTCTGTCCTGGCTCAGGCCCCTGGGCTGGCATGGCTGTGAACAGGAAGCTGTGCTATGAGGGGCATGGGAGTGGGCGTGAGTGTGCACGGAGGAGGGGGGCATCTGAGCGATCGGCAAATAAGTCCTGCTTCACCCCTACAGGGCAACCCCCCCCACCCCCCACCATCACAGCCTCTGCTTAAGGGATCCTTAAGCACTTTAGAGGGACGCTGACAACCTAAAGTCAGGGTGGGCATCAGCTCAGCTGCTAACCCCCATCTCCATTAGTAACCAGAAGCCTACATTCCATCGGACCTAGGGGACATTCACCCCCCCCACCACCCCCGTCTCTGTTTACTTAGTGGACAATGGGTAGGGCTGGCCTGGGTGACCTGTGAGTTGCTTTCCCCCTGGGACTGGCTGGCTATGCTGGGGAGGGAGACAAGGCCTGCCAGGTGCCCTATTGAGCAAGATCTGAGCTGTAGCCAAGCTGTCACCAGGTTGAGCATGAATACGGGCATTTCTTCAGCTCGCTTCTGAGTCTGCTGTGGTTGGCCTAAGTGTAATGCCCCTGACCAAGGCGGAGACCTTGGACAGCTCCCATGGCCTGACAGGACTCCAGAGCATCTGAAATCAAGTGTAAGTGTGTGTGTGTGTGTGTGTGTGTGTGTGTGTGTGTGTGTGTGTGTGTCTTGGTGGTTGAGGAGCAAGGAGGGGCAAGTTATAGTCCTTTGTTTAGAAGTGTGAGGGTGTGAGGTTGGAAGGGGAGGGGTTTCTCAGAGGCTTCTGTCTTTTGACTTCCACACTGGACTGCTGCTCTAACGGGCTCGGCCTGACCCTGGCCAGCCATGACCTCTCATTCTCTGCAGCCACAGCCATTCCGACCTGCGGAGGAAGGGCTTTCTGGCTGGTTTCCAGAGGTGACCCTGCCCACCCTCCGCTCCTGCCTCAGCACAGCCCACTCTGAACATGGTTCCCTCCCGACACCCTGGGTCCCCTGGGGCTTGGGTCAGGCTGGAATGCTTTTTCACCAGCCTGGAGTTGATGCCCACCTTCACACCAGCCTCCTCGGCCCTCCTGGAGCCCCTATCCACCTTGCACAGCTGGCAGGGGAGAGCTTGGGCCCATAACTCGAGCTCAATCACACTCCCTGCCATCTCTGCAGGGGCCCTGGTTACAAGGAGTGGAAATTTGCCTAAAGCCCACCTGGCTGGCATAATGACACCCAGTGGGCAAATTCAGGCCAGTGGCTCAGAACGCTGGTCATGCATTTTGGGCTCGAACACAGCCCAGGGGGCAGGGCCGAGGACATGTGTACCTCATTACTCCGGCAAAGTGGGAAGCAGTAATTAAACCAGGCTCCACTCAGAGAGACAGAGAGGGGCCCGCGCCGACCCAGCATCTCTCAGTGACTTTTCAGTCTTGGCAAAAGCCTCCAGAATGATAGGATGGGGACTCGTCCTCTGAGGGAAGATGCCTGTCCCTGCTACCGTACACAGGGAACTCTGACACCCACCAGCAGCTCCAGGCCCCCTGCAGCCTGGGCCAGGGAGGGCATAGCAGTCTTTAGTTCAGTGGTTCTCAACCTTCCTAATGTCTCGACCCTTTAATACAGTTCCTCATGTTGTGGTGACCCCCCAACCATAAAATTATTATCATTGCTACTTCATCACTGTCATTGTGCTACTATTATGAATTGGGCAACCCCTGTGAAAGGGTCGTTCGACCCCCAAAGGGGTCACGACCCACACGTTGAGAGCCACTGCTTCTAGTTCTCGGATCAAAGGGTGCCAAGACAACACACTGAGTTGGGCTTTGAGCGGTGCGGATTGCCCAGTAGAGCCATCTCCACTCTCTTGTAGAGGGTTCAGGTGGGGGTTTGTGACCAGGGGCAGTCTGGGAGTCAGGCCGTGGGGTTAACGGTCTGTCTAGGCTCCAGAAGAGAGCTCCCTGCTCAGAGGCTGTGGTGGATTCGACCCTTGACTCTCTCAGAGCTAACCACTGAACTACAGACCACTGAGCCCAAGCAGCCTCAGCAATGCCAGGTGCTTCCAGTTTCTGCAACAGAGATTTGGGGGAAGGGAGACCAAGAATGGAGGGACCCCGCTGAGTGACACACATGCACACAGGGCGCTGGGCACAGACACACGCCGACACACGTGTGGGTACATTTTGGGGCAAGCCCGGGAAGGCGGGTGGAGGGTCTGTCTTCCTGCCCGATGCTCACCCCTCACTCACCTCCCGAAGCTCCTTGGCCACCTCCTTGAGCTCCCGCAGAATGCCCTCCAGCTGCCCGATGACCATCTTCATGCGCTGTCGAATCCGCTCCCGCTCGCTGCCACTGCTGAGGTTGTCACTGGGCTGCCCGAGGTCCGGGGTGCCCCGAATGTTCATCCTTCACCACGTGGCTGTGGGCCTGCCCATACTCCCCCCAGCCGGGCACACACTGCGTCTGCCTCCACGGAGCCCCCCTCAGCTGGGCAGAGCTCCACATCTTAACGGCCCCCCAGCCCACCCTGGTCCTGGGCAGCCCTCACCCAGCCCCTGACCCCTACCCAACCCCCCAGCCTCCCCTGCCTCTGGGTGGGGAATGGGACACCCCGAAGTCCGGAAGTCTGGCAGAGAGGGTCAAAGGGAGGAGGCAGGGTCGCTGGAGGAGGGGCCCTGGATCCCAGGAGTGGCTTCTCACACTTGTCCTGCCTGTGGATGTGCAGAGCTGATCTCTGGCCGAGCCTAGACACTGAGGCAGGGGGATGGCACTGCAGGGCCTAAGGGTAAGAGGTGCCCTTGGGATGGGGGAGGCAGCAGGAACCCCACCCCCTCACAACTCCTAGGTAGGTGGGAAGGCAGAGGTCTGACACCTGCAGGGGGGTAGTGGCTGGGGTCTTCCAGGTGTGGTGGGAGCTCCAGATGTGGGCAGCTCTGGGAAGGGAGCTGGGCTGGAGGAGGGCAGCCCCCTGCAGAGAGAGCGAGCCTGGCGTCAGCCCTCCCAGCCTGCAGCACCAGCCAGCAGCGCTGCTGCCTCCCTCCTTTCCTCTGCCGGCACCCTCGCCTTCAATGGGGCTTTTTCTTTTTTCTTTTTTTTGGTGGGGATGGGTGGCAGAGGCAGATGGTCCGCAGCTCCGCCCCTCCTCTAGAGGGGCAGGAGGGAGCCCCCTGCTTCCAAGGTTGAAGTCCTCAGCCTGCGGTGGAGCATGCTTGCGGCGGCCCCCTCCCCCAGCCAGGCCTGTTCCCGCAGGTTCACTGGGCGCTTCTCTGTCTTCTGTCCTCCTCCCTGGTGCCCCAGGGTGCCCTGGTTCCCAGCAGACCCTCCCTCCCCCAGCCCTGCCTTCCTTTAGAGCCTCCACTTCCCGGACTCACCGAGGGTGGAGGGCGGCCTTCCCTCCAGGCAGTGTCGGGGGGGACCAAGCCCCAAGGCGAGGTTGGGGGGCCCCAAGGCCCCCTAAGGCGGGCTTCTCTCTCTGGACCCTTCAGCCACTGGCCTCAGGAAGGTCCTCCGAGCCGCCGCCGGAGACATCTGGGCGGTGGGAGGGGGCGGGGCCTCCGCGCTCCAGGGAAGGGGGCCAGACGAAATCTGCCCCAACCCCCGCCAGGCGCCCGGCAGGGAGGGCTCGGGTCCGGCGGGCTCGGGGCTCCGAGGCCACAGGTGACCGGGGCGCACAGCGAACGATGTGACGCCGGGCTGGTCCCAGT